AGCATTTCAGCTCCATGCCCATACGATGCCTTCCTAAGGAAGCAGCAACTGAAACAACCTGTTTGCTGCTGCTCTCTCTCTCCCAAGCAGATTACAGGGGCCTGAAATAACAGCAGCAAAGGCATAGATTTCATAGCTTTTTCATAGATTTTAGGGTCAGAAGGGACCTATTAGATCACTGAGTCCAAGTGTGGACACCTGAACCACTGGGGAATAGAGATGGGCTCAAGGGGTTGGTGTTGTGCAGCTAAGGCATCCCTGACTCCCTTCACGTCCGCTGAACTTCATCAGGAGTTAAGTCCGGGGCGGGCAATTATTTCGGGTGGAGGGCCGCTTACTGAGTTCTGGCAAGCCATCGAGGGCCGCAGGACAGGCAGCCAGGGCAGATAAATATTAATTTTCTAAATTTTTTAGGGGCCCTGTGGGCTGGATAGAATGGGCTGGCGGGCCGCATCTGGCCCTTGGGCTGCATTTTGCCCACCCCTGGGTTAAGTTGTCTTGTTAGACCAAAGTGGCTCCTGTAGCTGTTTTACCTCCTTTGTGGGAGTCATGGAAGGACGGCTGAGGCTGGACCATTGCTTTCTCCTCTGGGCTGCTTCTTTCTCTCTCCTTTCTCTCAGGACATGGAGGAGGCACCATCCCAGGGTCACCCAGTGGGCAAGGCAGTAGCTCCTGGATGCACCAGACTCCATAGCGGCCTCCTCAGCCCTGCTCCCAGGTCTCATTGCAAGCCCTTAATGATCCTTTGGGTCAATTTTACTCTTAGTTACACTTGTGAAGACTCCTGGGATTCATGAGAGGGGTGACTGGGTGAGGACCGTTCAGTTTATGTGGACATGCCGGGACGAAGTGCAGCCCATTTACTCAGGAAAGCCTGGGAAAACTGCTGCCATGGGGCTCGGGGGAGCCCTCAGAGGGGTGTCTTTTTCAGAGACTGTTTGCTGAGAGAAGAAATGTCTTTGCAAAGGCACTGCAAGCTCTTTGGGACAGAAGGGATCGTACACTCTGTGTGGGCACAGTGCCTAGCATGAGGAGGCCCTGAATTGGGTTGGGGCCTGTCAGTACAAGAGTGCTAATGATGAGGATGATGAATATTTATTGACTGGGGAGATGACTTAACTCTCAGAGCAGAGGAGTTAATGAGCTGACTTTCAGGGGAGCCACGCTTCACAGTTTCTCATGAATTCTGTGGGAGATGCAATGCTCTGCCTCAAAAATCACAGCATCCTTGAAAGCGATGGACTCACTCAGTCTGTTCCTGAGAGAGCTGGGTGTAGACCCCACATCTGCCTCCCCCTGCTCTCCATCAGCCCCTTCCCCTGCTTTACATCAACCTACATCCATCTCCCACGGAAATTAACTTGGCTTCTCTCTCTTTTTTCCCCCCTTTTCTTCTCTCTCAACTGCACGATGCAGGTTTTTTGTCAACTTCCCATCTGCCAAGCAGTACTTCAGCCAGTTCAAGCACATGGAAGACCCGCTGGAGATGGAAAGGAGCCTGCAGCTGCGCAAGCATGCCCGGCGGGTCATGGGTGCCATCAACACTGTGGTAGAGAACCTCAACGACTCTGAAAAGGTCTCCTCTGTCTTGGCCCTGGTGGGCAAGGCCCATGCTCTCAAGCACAAAGTGGAGCCCGTGTACTTCAAGGTAAAGGGCTGGAGTGAGGGTCTCTGACGCTTCATGGGGAAGCAAGGGAAGGAGGGAAGGATCATACTGACACTGCAGTGTTGCCAAGTCCCCTGATGGCTGCACAAGTTCATCCTACTCCCAAGGACGCTGTCCAGCCTTATGGGCCTTTCCTAGAGCTGATTGGAAGTTTTCCAATGGAACATTTTTCCACCAGAAAATTCCAATTTGCCAAAAGCCAAATGCTTTGCACGCGCACATCCATTCCGAAAGGAAAAGAAAGAAGGACCCAAAGTGGTGGGTTCCAAGAAGAGAAGAGCAGAATGGTTTAGTTTTCCATTTTGAAATGACTTTCCCTAACTTTCTGCATCACACAACACGAGAGGTAATAACATGCAAAGTCAGAACAGGAGTGACCCATTTCTGTGGCATCAAAAGAAAACATTTCTAAATGGCCTAAATCAATTTATCTTCAGAAACCCACTTCCTGGGTAATTTTTCATTGTTGCTCTGTTGGAATGGGGACAGGCAGGCTGCAGTGGCAGGGCTCCTGGGTTCTCGTCCTTGAACTGTCACTGATTTTCTGGGTGGCATGAAAGTAGTTTCTTAGGACAAAGCTTGCAAAAGCTTCGGGGCACTTTGATTTGGCCCAATACAAAATACTGTGGGCCTGATATACATTAGTGTTGAGCTGAAGGAAATGTGGGTGCATGGCACCTTTGAAAACCAAGCGCTGGAGGATGTGTCCTCAAGTGGTCAGCACACACCACTGGGCTTGGTTTGGCTAACTAGCTTCACACTCTGCAGCTGCCCTGCAGTGCTTATGGCCTGCTCTGCCCATACTTAATATCTTGAGCCCGTCTGTAAATCTGAACTTACAGATGTGTCTGAACCACTTGCTCACGGCTCACATAGATGCCACATCCCCTAGAGCCTGATTTTCAAGGGAGTTATATACCCACAGCTGCCACTGCCTTCAGTGAGAACGGGAATTGTCAGCACTGAGGTGCATCAGGCCTGGGGTAGCTCAGCTTGGGCCAAGGAATGAGGCAGTGAATCCTGGGCTGGCGAGACCCACTGAGGTCACTTTTGAACACGCTGGGCACAGAGACCTGGTGAGTGATGGCAGGGAGCACCTACACGACTCCGCTGCCTTGTTTCTGCGTTCGGCGTAAGCGGAGCAGGAGCAGGTGAACGCGTCTCAAATTAGGAACCCAAAATCTGAGACACCCAAAAATGAGTGGACGGTTGAGCTTGCAGTTGCCTCAGTTTTCCCCTTTGCCCAATGCAATTTATGCCTTGAGGTGAGGTGAACAAACATTTGTGAGCCTCTTTGAAAGCTGTAGATGGGGGGGACCAATATCAGGTTATGGTGCCATAACAGCTGATGTCCCTTCTAGCCCTGTTGCAATGGTTTCCAGCTAGCTCAGTCAGAGGGCAAATGGCCCCAGAACTCAGCAGTAGGGTTGTTTTGAAGAAGGGGCTCCTACCCCATTGCTTTCTGACCTGTGCCCTGGAGAATCTGGTAACACTCCTCTGTCTCCCCCCTCCCTCAGATCCTAACCGGTGTCATGCTGGAGGTCATTGCTGAAGAATATGCCAATGATTTCACCCCAGAGGTGCAGAGAGCTTGGACCAAGATGAGAAGCCTCATCTACACCAACGTGACTGCCGCGTACAAGGAGGTGGGCTGGGCGCAGTATCCAAACTCCACCATGTGAGCGGACAAGGGGACAGGGAAGGGCCAGGAGGGGCTCACATCAGGACTTCACTATGGTCTCCTCTCAAGATCCTCACTGATCTGAGTGGCCCGGTAGGGTTAGCTCTGTTGCAGCCAAGTCGAAATTTTATCTCCATACGGCAAAAAGTGGGTGGGGCTCTGCAGTGGGAGGGGGTGGGGAACCATTTTGCTTAGTGGCACCATTTCCTTGCCCAGGCCAGGAAGTTACTTGACCTCCCCAAACCCAGAACATAGCTCTTGATTCGATGGCCACAAGATGCACTGGCTCAAATCCTGCTGTGAGGCAACAATGTGCAACCCAAATTTATTGAAGAGGTCCATGACCCTCCTCACCAAGGGAAGTCCGCTCCACCCTCCTCCGGGTTAAAATTGCTCCTGGCCTCATGGGACTTGTGATTTATCAGGCTAAGGCTCTGGTCTCCTGTGTGGTTTGCAAAGTCAACCCAAAGCTGTTGTTTCGGTTGCATTTGTAAAACCCACCTGATAAGACTCCGGCCCCAGATTTGTGAGCGATGCAGAGAAATCCCCCTGAACTGCAGATCGCTGGTTCAGGAGCAGCCCAACCAGTCCCCTCTCTTCCACCTGCATCCTGAAACAGTTGGTATTTCCCTGGCACAAGGGCCCTCCTTGGCTGGCTGTGGCACGTTGTCCTGGGGGTGGGCGCCCCGGAAGCAGCTCAGGTGGGGTAGGGAGGGCAGTGGCATTCTCCTCATTTGGGGGACCCTAGCGGCTTGGCGCACAAGACTATAGGGGGAGGCTGGGAAGGACTAGCACAGAATCTGTGACCTGCTGTCAGAGGTAACCCATGAGTCAATGCGTAGTAGGTGGCTGATTGCTGCCAGTTGCACAGATGTGGATCCAGGGAGAAGAAGGTGCATTGAAAACCAGTTGGGTCCCTTCAATTCTTCCCCTTCCCAATATATGACAAGGTAAGAAGGAAGCAGGCACAAACTGGCTCAGGCAACATGTGCTACATGCAGTGTCCACCCCCCTCCCCGACACCTGGGAAAAGGGCAGTGAGTGTCTGCAAGGGAAAGGGCAGGTTTAATGCCTCCAGCCCCAGGCATACCCATAACTTACCCTGACCGGGAGAGGGAAGTATGCAGTGATCAGGAAAGGGGGACATGCTGGGGATGGTTTCCTGAGTACAGTAAAACATCCCTGCTCCATTTAGAAGTACCTTGAGACTCTGAGTATATATTTGTCCTCAAAATTAAACTGGGTTCCTCAAAATAAAGTGCCTGGTAAAAAATCACCGCATACACAACACTGATTCCATCCCCACCGGTATCACGAGCACCAACTAATTCATCACATGCCTGTTTACCCATTGACTCTCTCCCTGCTCCCCTGTGTAACCACATGAGCCTAGGAGTAGGCAGCATCAGATTTGGAGTCCTAACCCTGATACTGACTCCTCTTTTAGCCTTGGTCACTTTACTTATCTGCTCTGCTGCAATTTCCCACCTCTGTCCAAAGGGAAAGAAGCACATAACCCCTTATTTGATAGGGGTGTTGTGGGGGTTAAGCAGGGAATGTCTGTAAGGTGCTATGGAGGCCAAGCTGGTCAAATAATTCAGAGGCAAGTTATCCCTGTGTCATGACACCAAGGAAGCTGAAAGCTTTGGGGCGAGCTCACCAGGCATCCTGTGCCACGATTGCCTCCTCCCATCCCCTTCTGAGAAGCTCTCAGCTTCCAGCTGTGCTTTAAGCAAGTGGCTGATCTCTGTCACCCGGTCTCTGTTGGCACCATCTGAACCTAGGAACTTCTACTAGCATGTTATCCCTGAGCCAAATTAGTGATGTTCCACTAAGGGATGGATTTGGGCCCAAAGCAGCCTCTAGTAATAGGGGCTGTATGGGGAAATCTTGGGTGTAGTAATTATTAGGGTGATGTCACTTCCCAAGAACTGTGTGTGATTTGTGTATGGTATTACCTCTCATTCTGGTACGTTTGCTCCTCTCTTCTCTGCCCTCCTCTTCTGCCTGTCTGTCTGTCTGTCTGTCTGTCTGTCTGCTTTTCCTGGACACCTTGCAGGATATGTGAATGTTAAACTACCATGCAAGACTCCCCTTGTCAATGCCCTAGCGGTATATAGCACTGCTCTAGCCAAATGTGTTGTACTTAGCTTGTAAATAAGCTGCTACGATATGATCAGCCTTGCCACTTGCGTGGTACCTACTCAGCAAACCCTCTGCCTACCCCATACTTCCTTACTAGTAGACAAAGCTAGCTAGATGACAAGGATCTTATTTGGACTGGATGCTCCATGGGATAGGGACTAGTTCTACATCACTGTCTTGTACAGCACTGCACGCTGGCGGAGCTAAGTTCATAATCCTCCATCATTATCTCCTCCTACCAACGATGATCTCCTCCATGCACTGCTTTGGAGCTAACTGAGCTTCCACAGGCATTTCAATCTTCCCTCTCACTTTCTACCAATGAAGACCAAAGTAATTCTGATGGAAGTTAATTCCTTCCCTCCATGCATTAATTGTGACCATCTCCCTTTCTGTAAGAGTGACAAGAAGAGCAGAGGTCTCTTTTTTTTTTCCTCCTGGGGAGGGCTGCAGTGGAAAGGAGCATGTGTGGGTGGCTTTGTCTATTATGTTTCTTCATCACTATCCCTGCCAGTCTGGAGTTCCTTAGGAAGCAGGTGATCATGGGCAAGATAATCGTGTTACACGGAGGCATAACAAGCAAACGGCCATATCTACCTGATACACACAGGTCTTTCCGTTGCTCTAGTGTGGACCACGATCCAACACAATTCTCAGCTCTAGCCCAGATTTATTAAAACACTCATCACCTAATGAACTTTATGCATGTGAGATGGCCCATTCAAGCTGGGATCAGGGCCAGGGTACTTGGCACCTTTCTCAGCATCTCGTGGTTACAAAATGGCAGCATTTGGCTGATTCTGAATCTAGCCTCAACTAAGCTGATCAAGACTCTTTTGGGGATCTCGGGTGGGACCTTCTTGACCTCGCTGCTATCTCATTCTGGGGATCACGGCCCAGGTTTACTGACGGGCTGAGAGAGCTGAGTTTTGGTGACAGCTGCTAGATCCCTTGGGACTGTTATATCCCACTCTTGATTTCCCTCCACCATTCAAGGCCTCAAATTTAATCAGGTTCCATTATCTTCTGTTTCTAGAGAATCGGGGTGAAAACTGTCAGTGTCAGGAAAAGCTCGGCTGATTTTGAGTTGCCCCATAACCTAAGCTTATCTCCTTTCCTTTTCTAGGAAAGGGGCAGAGTCTTTTGTGCCCAAGGGAAATGTTAACCTTGAAAAAGGAAAAATCCATCCAGGGGGTTGATGAGAGTTGCAAATACAGCTTAGCAAAGCCTTTCTCCAGTCAGTCAGAGATGACTCCTTCATTCTCACTTCTCATGTGAGAAGAGCCTGGAAGGCTAGAAGATGCTGGAGAGGAAACCCAGGGGACCGGATTTCTCTAGTGTCAAAGTACAACACAAGCAGAGGTCATGAAGTCTTCTCCTCACTGTCCTGGCCATGTGCCTTGACCTTGGCTTCAAGGGGCCATCTCGGCCGGAGGGGGCAAGTAAGTCTCCATGTACCTTCAGTCACTCTGTCGTACCTTCAGTCAACAAGGGCACCAAAATGGTTTCAGATACTGTCATGGTGTATAAAGCCTCTCACCTATTAGGCTAGGTGCATAGAGCAGTGGGGTGGGGTGACTGTGGCATGGGTAGATAGACATACCCAAGTCGTTTTGACCTGGGTGTACTAATACCAGCAAGGACTTCAGCTGCTTCTGTAAGTATCCCAGGTGTCTGCTTAGCTGCTGTTCCTAGCTTAAAGCTGGTGGTACCTACCGCCTACCTCTACCACAGTCACCCCCAGCCCCCAGATGCTGCATAGACCTGGCTTTCATCAACAGTTCAATCCCCACCTTTGCAGTTGGGATGGTAAGACAGTGTTTCACAGGCATGCAGTGCAGCAGGCTCTTTGAGAGTCACTGCGATTCGGGCAGCTCGCTTCTCTTGTGACCCCTTCGCTGCAGTGTTGCTCCCCTATGAGACTGCGGCCTCTGTGGAACTGTGTAGAGGTGTCTGTCCAGAGCCAGCAGCCAAATGTCCAGGCCCCAGGAACTACCCCACGTTCATGTCACTGCAGGAAGGAAGGAAGGGGAAGGTAAACTCCGAATAGGAGGCCTGAGCCAGGCTAGGAAGTGATCTCCGTATGGCGCACCGGAGAGACAGAACAGCTTCAGGGCGTCAAGCGTTGACATGATTTGAGGGCAGGGAGAGGACAATTTTCCTTACAGTGCGTGGAAGGGAACAAGGCAGACTGCGGGAGTTTGTTCCAGCCCCGAACAGCAGGCGAGGCCATGATAAATACGTTCACTTTCCCTGGGAAAGAACTTTGCCCTCTGAGGCAAATGGCCAGAAATTTCGAACTTCACTCAGCAGCAGCCAAATTGAACCTCTCAAAGGATCTTTTCTGTAGTGTTTGAGATGCTCTGGCTTCTTTCTATCGGGTGCCCCGTTGCCAGGTTGGCTACAATAATGAGAAGTACTGCACGCAAATTATTACAGCCTCCCCAAGCAAATGCAGCATCTGCACCCCCTGGGCACACCTGGCACAAGCTGCTTGGGAAGAGCTGCTAGCCAGCTTCTCAATGGGGGTTTCAGTAGACTCGTTCAGTACTCATGTGTGCCCCTGCCTCTTGACTCTAACAGCGGTGAAGCTGTGGGGTAGGATCTCTATGATGTTGACTACCTGGTTATAGGGAGCAGAAAGGACCCACCAAACCCTAGTGACTAAGAAATGACTCCTGCGAGTGCCATGTGCCTACTGAATTCCCCTTTTCTGTTAACAGATGCTGCAGTCCTCCCTTTCCACCCATTTTGCCTATGGTCAGCATTTCCCCGTATGATCCAAACCCAGCAGACTTCTCATCTCTGCAAGGGTTCAAG